GTTAATTTTTCCGTCAATGCCAGCCTGCCCTGATGCGTGCCCGCATCGCTGCTCTTGTTTCTTCCCGCAGGCCGTGTCCCACGCTACTGTGCACTGCCCCAGTGAAACAACGTAGTGCACCTTCCCTCCAATTCAAAGAGCTAGTGCCACCGCACACGAAAAGTGACCCCGAGTGTACCGTCGGCACTCCGAGAGTGCTGAGGCTAGGTTAGTTGCTCAAAATAGTGATAATAAAATTGTGCGCACTGTCATTGAGATAGAAGGAGCGTGGCTTTCGTGTCATAGCGGGGAAGCAGAGCTCAAGCTCTCATAACTCCACACTTGCCTGCGAGCCAGTTGCGGGGTTCTAAACAAGAAGGCACGTGCAGCTAACGTATCCTATCGGCGGACGAGAGCTGTTGAGTACCGTACTGCAGTTGTAGGCAGGTAAGCAAAACTGGCATCTTGAACAGCCGACTTCAATGGAGCGTAACTTATCCTTGACCACGAGTGACACTTTGCAGCAAAGCCTCGCACGACTTTTTCGAGTTATTTTACATCTGTTTTCGGACTCCTTTTAGCGATATTAGAATATGGAGGAGGCTAGTCAATTGAATGCAGAACATATCTACAACTATTAAGGTGGCTCGATTTCAGTAATACCAGAGAGTGTGGTGATCGCTGGTGAAAAATGAGGAACTAGGGCTCTTTGAAAGCCAGCTCACGAGCTCCATTTATTCAAACTAGTTTAGAAAAAACTTGATTTCAGGCTAGGGAGCTTTGGAGAAAGAAAACGGGCACGCGCACTGCGTTCAGATTGGCGCAACGTCACCTGTACCTCCAGCCTGTCAGGCGCCACAGGGTAACTCCGTCAGGCACACCCATTCTGGGCCACCAAGAGTCACTGCAACTGTGTTGTTAAGAAACAAAGCTGCACAAAGAAAAGTTTTCCGGCAGACACTCCCTACATTTTAAAGCCAACAAGCAGACTTCATACGAGTCAATTTCGTCCCTTGATTGAGCAAAACGGTCAGCTGCTTGGGGCATCAGGGAATTGAAACAATCTAAGAAAAAGATAGTTCACACATAAAGAAGCCACAGTATGACTTTCGTAGAAGGAAATGTTCCTTCGGCTCCCTTTGCTACTTCTTGTTTAGTGGTACTCTGCGTGCGACCCAAGTTACCTCTAGAGTCTGCGCTATTCAGCCTCCCGAAAGCAGTACCTGAATTAGTTAAATACATTCATTAGCGATTTGTAGTAATATATCACGCACTTTCTATGATAGACTCAGTTTCAAGTTGAAGCAATGGCTAGCTCGGTCACTGTGTGGACCTCACTGGACCAGACTTCTGCAGAGCTTCACGGAGCTGCATGGTTTTCTTGTGTCCGATGCATTACTCTGCCTAAACTCCAAAGTCCCTCAAATATATCTGGCATCAGTTTCGCCAGACATTTCAGTATAAGTTGCTGAAAATGGCGCCCTCCCTCAAGTTCTTCTATCTGGCAAACGCCTGTTTGATTCTGCTCGCTGCTTGTCCACGAGAGGCTCAGTCAGAGCCGGCTGATTCACCTACAATTTCGTACTCTGTGAATCTCGGTGAGCTTGAGAAGCCTGAACAATGTGGAGCACTGAATGCAGCCACGTTTTCTCTGGCCACTCTTCACACATAGGACCTCAGTCAATCGGGAACGAAGCCCATTTAACATGCAAACACGAGAGTTGGCTGTCATGACTTTCTTGTGACTTCAGGGGATGACGGCACGTGCCTCGCCGAGGTCAACGCTGCTCGTGAAGCTGCTAAACTGAGCAAGCTTCAGCAACCAGGAGGTAGCGAAGGAGCAAAGCGTCTTCCTGCTTTGGTCCCAGTAACACCGTGGGAGCCACTGTGCAAAGAGTTGATACCAGTAAGCTCCGCATCTTCTTTTTCTCACCTTCTTTACCTCGCGTCCAGCATTTTCCTGATTCATCCCCTACATGCTCGTACCGACCTGCCGTTTTCGTTCAGCCGGCAGCGGGGAAATCAGCCAGTGAGAGAACCGGCAATGAGTTCAGTAGTGGCACGTACGCCTACATTGCCCTGAATTCCGCCACGCCCAACTGCAGTGCTGCAGTCGACCACTGGAAAGCAGCCTACAAGAACTTCAGTGGAGTACCTCCAGCGTACAAAGACAACACGACGCTCTACAGCAAGCAAGACAACATTTCCTTCGTGGCTCTATACAACCCTTCAAAAGATGCGACTGCAGACTGCAGGGTCGTCACATGCACTGAAACAACAACGAATCAATCCCGGCAAGGCCAAGAAGGATCAGGAACACAACGACATGGCTACGCTTTGCTATGCATGACCACGCCTGATATACTCAAAGAAAACGAATCTGCTCCCTTCACGTAAGCCTACCCAGACCTATCCATCAGTTCTAGTTCGTTGCCGTCCAGCTGTACGTCCTCAAAGCACGGAGTTCTTTGCTGCCTCATGTTGTGCAGGCAAGATCAATGGAACGCAATATCGCGTTCGATTACCGGCTCAGCCTCAGTCGCCGTCCCGAGTCTCGTAGCGCTCGCCGCAGCGTCGCTGAGCATTGCTTTCCTTTGAGAGTCTCGTTTCGAAGGCTGCAGAACTCACGACTCAAGTGCGTCGTGCTGCTGATGTCGAGTTCGATGCATTTGCACGCATTTAAATCTACAGTGATTGCCCACGCGATGACAGGGAAAACCCTTGCATGAGAGCAGTGGATTAGACACGTTCTTGCGTTTCAAGACAATTGTCGCGCTGTGCTGCTGTGCTGCCACGTGCAGCCAGTGGCCAGGTATGCAGAGCAACAGCCTAAGCTGAGTCAGGCAGCTCGAGTTTTTCGAAATGAATATATTTAGAGTTTCTGGTGTTCGTTTTGAGACACGACAAGAAACGCCTCACGAGTGGCGACTGCATTGGCGGCTACGTTTATTATTGGCTCAGCAGGCCTGAGAGACACACGCGAGTTGTTTATTTGGTTAAGCGAGAAAAGGCAGAAGCGTTTGGGGGGACGGGCGGAGGCCTTTTCAGGGTTTGAAGGCGCGTTTCGTGGCGCCGCTCAGAATGCTTCGCGGCAGAGTTTCGTGTTGTTAGCTAGGCCGGTGATGCTTTCAAGCGCCGTGTAGTTGCGGCTACAGGTGGGGAGAAGAGTAGTGCATCTGCCGAGCTCAGCATGATTCGGTTAAACAGTCACGTACCGAGTACTGCAGGCGTCAAGTGCAGTCTGAGTGAGCTCAGCTGCGGAGAACAAACGATGAAAGACTTGTAGCAAAAGACACCCGTAGTCAACGTGAGTGGACCTGCAGTAACAATGCTGCTGCACTATTGCAGCAGCTTGTGAAGCCAATGCGACCTTGCCTGCAGCAGAGTCTTGATATTGCAATGACGACTAAGTACAGCGCTGTTATCCCAGTGATGACCAGCGGCTGTTTGTATCTGAGAGAGGATGCCTACGATGTTGCCGATTGATGGGCCAGAGGTGGCAGCTTCACAGTCGCTTGCCACATGCGTCATAATCAAGGATTCAGCGGAGGTGTTGGTGGGGCACAGATTCATTTGTACCTAGTTAAGCGCTTATTCTTCCATTAACAGTAAGCAGTTCCGCAGCATTTTGTGTCGCCTTTGACCGATTTGCGTCGCCTTTGAAGTACCTGTTGATGAAGCTAAAATTGATAGGTCCTACTCCAGCACCTGAGGGCCTAATCGAGTCATTTATTCCAATACGTCACGAGGTACCAGTGACTACTGCTGATGTGTTGACGGAAGGAACGTGTTTTACGTGGATGACGTTGCTCGTCCCACCGATAATAAACAGTGCCACAACGCCTCCCCACGTCCCACTACAGACAAACAAGTGCAGAGCATGAAAGTGTAATAAGACTGTAACTTGCACTGATGCTGTTGTGGAAGGAAAGTGCAGCTTGCAGCACACAGGCAGGCAACTAAAAGGCAGCCCTGGCGAAATTCATGTGTTCTCTGTGAGCACACCCTGCAGACCATTCCGACCAAAGTCTCCCTTGCCGCCCTACGCGCCCCACGCATCCACTGCAATCTAGCCAGTCACCTTCCGGACTAGAACAGCATCTGCGGGTGCAAATACTGAACGCACCGATTGGTTCAGGCAATAAAAAGATACAGCAAAAGCGAAACTCTACTATGCCCTGACCAACGCCTCCGAAAGTCTTGCTCTGCAGTATTCAACCACTTTACACTTGCAGTATTCAACCACTTTACACTTCCAAAGTTGTGGTTGGCGAAAAGGACAGCCACGTATGGTTTTGTGCTGGGCCGAGTTACGGGAAAAGCTACATTGTCTTAGCTAGAAGTCCTGTTTGTGCTCCCCTACTTTAGTGCTGCCGTCACCGCGGCCCGTGAGCAGTCCTGATCTGTGGAAAGAAGCCCACTCTCGGCTCTCCAAAGGCGTTGCTTTGTTTCGCGCTGTTCGGCAGCAAGGGTCAGGAACTCCCGGCCCTCGGAGCAGCTGAACTATCTTCACGCTTCTTCTACCCTTCCTGAGACCACCAGACATTAAGAGCTTGAGACGTCGTTCGAAGCTACGGGGCACGTAAAGAAGCTCCGAAGGAGCTCCGCTGATTGTCAAGCTGTTGACCTCATCAGGCGGGCAAGTAGGGATTCTGCTGATTCAGTTGAATACTGACAAGCTGCTCTTCCAGTAGTTGCTGCCCAGTCGCGCCTTCATTCCCCATGGCGCAGGCGTTAGGACACTGGAAGGACGTGTACATGGTGCCATACATACGGCGAAGCATTGAAGTTCTGACGAAGCTATCCTGCCTTGCATTCAGCGTCCGATTCCTTCCTTAGCCCTACTTAGGGAACGTCCAGGATGAAGGAAAGTGGTCTGTCACTTCTGCATATCCAGTTGTAGCTTGGTGTAGATCAAGCGAAAAGATCTTGAGAAGTGGTGGAGGAGTTGCGCACGCAGTGCTATATGAAGATTGAGCATTTGTGGAGCAAAGGCGCACCCAATGCTCAATGCCACTACCATTCGCGCTTTTCAACTTATCGAGGCTGTGATGCTCACTCTAGCGTGTGCCTTCATGGCGTAGTGCAAAGGAAGTCCTCCAGACTTCAGACAACGTTTCTTCTCTACACCGCATCCACTAAGGCCTGTTGGACAGCTTGTTAACAAAGGGGAGGAGCCGCAGTTGGCTGGCGTTCCGAACAGGGGCAAATAGCGAAGCGCATTTTTAGAGGCGTGTAATCATGTGCCCACAGCGCAGCAGCAGCTGAATCCGCGCAATCATTGGTGCATTCTCATGACACGTTCAAGCAGTGGTCTCAGTACGCACACTTAGTCATACAGCCTGTGGGTTTAATAAAGGCTGTGAAGAGATAGGGTGGCCTTTTTCCACTTGCGAAATTGAGTCGCCTACACAACAACGTGCCGGTCAGCTCAGATAGAGTGGGTCTCATGAGCAAATGAAGGGAAATTGATGAAATGCATGGAGAAATTGCCTCCGCCAAAGCCACCACTCAAACAAGCGCTGAATGACGATGGAGTGCAAGCAAACTATCGCTCATCTGCACATGGCAGCTTACATCGATTCCTAGGAAGTATAGGGTGGCATGGCATTTCGCCTTGTGTGGCGGGGCGAATGGGGAGCCTGGCCACTTCTTTGTCGGCTGCACATCATGGGCAAAGGCACTGCAGGAAATCTCAACAGGCCCCGCTTCCATAAGAAGGTGAGCACGTCGAATGTTTGCTTTGAAATTCGTGGACTGCATCGGCTTCGGCCTCGACGTACGTGCGCAAACTTGAGGCTCTACACTGCGGTTTATCGCGTAATTTGATGAACCGTCGGCACTCCAAGAGTGCCGACGCTAGGTTAGTTGCGCAAAATAGTGAGAATAAGGTTATGCGCACTGTCATTGAGATAGAGGGAGCGTGACTTTCGTGTCACGAAGAACGCTCTCGGAGCAGTCAATTTGGGCAGGACTCGGGTGCCGGCTGACGGCACGAGGGCATGATGGTATTGCGAGCCTCTAGTAAGTAGGCACTGCCACAAACACGTGAACCACTTCTTGAAATCTCGCATCGACACTACTCTCTGGACGAACCGCTTTGGATGCAGCGCCGTTCATAGCCGCTCAGCAGCTCGGAAGGCTTCCACAGCAACAGCGAGCACACTTGGCTGAGCAACAAAGACGAAGCCATGAAAGGCGTCCAAGGATAGGGGCACTTTTTGACGAAACGTGGCTTCAGTAAGCTGTGAGCATCTCTAGCTGCATCCGCCGTAACCGGTTAATTTTTCCGTCAATGCCAGCCTGCCCTGATGCGTGCCCGCATCGCTGCTCTTGTTTCTTCCCGCAGGCCGTGTCCCACGCTACTGTGCACTGCCCCAGTGAAACAACGTAGTGCACCTTCCCTCCAATTCAAAGAGCTAGTGCCACCGCACACGAAAAGTGACCCCGAGTGTACCGTCGGCACTCCGAGAGTGCTGAGGCTAGGTTAGTTGCTCAAAATAGTGATAATAAAATTGTGCGCACTGTCATTGAGATAGAAGGAGCGTGGCTTTCGTGTCATAGCGGGGAAGCAGAGCTCAAGCTCTCATAACTCCACACTTGCCTGCGAGCCAGTTGCGGGGTTCTAAACAAGAAGGCACGTGCAGCTAACGTATCCTATCGGCGGACGAGAGCTGTTGAGTACCGTACTGCAGTTGTAGGCAGGTAAGCAAAACTGGCATCTTGAACAGCCGACTTCAATGGAGCGTAACTTATCCTTGACCACGAGTGACACTTTGCAGCAAAGCCTCGCACGACTTTTTCGAGTTATTTTACATCTGTTTTCGGACTCCTTTTAGCGATATTAGAATATGGAGGAGGCTAGTCAATTGAATGCAGAACATATCTACAACTATTAAGGTGGCTCGATTTCAGTAATACCAGAGAGTGTGGTGATCGCTGGTGAAAAATGAGGAACTAGGGCTCTTTGAAAGCCAGCTCACGAGCTCCATTTATTCAAACTAGTTTAGAAAAAACTTGATTTCAGGCTAGGGAGCTTTGGAGAAAGAAAACGGGCACGCGCACTGCGTTCAGATTGGCGCAACGTCACCTGTACCTCCAGCCTGTCAGGCGCCACAGGGTAACTCCGTCAGGCACACCCATTCTGGGCCACCAAGAGTCACTGCAACTGTGTTGTTAAGAAACAAAGCTGCACAAAGAAAAGTTTTCCGGCAGACACTCCCTACATTTTAAAGCCAACAAGCAGACTTCATACGAGTCAATTTCGTCCCTTGATTGAGCAAAACGGTCAGCTGCTTGGGGCATCAGGGAATTGAAACAATCTAAGAAAAAGATAGTTCACACATAAAGAAGCCACAGTATGACTTTCGTAGAAGGAAATGTTCCTTCGGCTCCCTTTGCTACTTCTTGTTTAGTGGTACTCTGCGTGCGACCCAAGTTACCTCTAGAGTCTGCGCTATTCAGCCTCCCGAAAGCAGTACCTGAATTAGTTAAATACATTCATTAGCGATTTGTAGTAATATATCACGCACTTTCTATGATAGACTCAGTTTCAAGTTGAAGCAATGGCTAGCTCGGTCACTGTGTGGACCTCACTGGACCAGACTTCTGCAGAGCTTCACGGAGCTGCATGGTTTTCTTGTGTCCGATGCATTACTCTGCCTAAACTCCAAAGTCCCTCAAATATATCTGGCATCAGTTTCGCCAGACATTTCAGTATAAGTTGCTGAAAATGGCGCCCTCCCTCAAGTTCTTCTATCTGGCAAACGCCTGTTTGATTCTGCTCGCTGCTTGTCCACGAGAGGCTCAGTCAGAGCCGGCTGATTCACCTACAATTTCGTACTCTGTGAATCTCGGTGAGCTTGAGAAGCCTGAACAATGTGGAGCACTGAATGCAGCCACGTTTTCTCTGGCCACTCTTCACACATAGGACCTCAGTCAATCGGGAACGAAGCCCATTTAACATGCAAACACGAGAGTTGGCTGTCATGACTTTCTTGTGACTTCAGGGGATGACGGCACGTGCCTCGCCGAGGTCAACGCTGCTCGTGAAGCTGCTAAACTGAGCAAGCTTCAGCAACCAGGAGGTAGCGAAGGAGCAAAGCGTCTTCCTGCTTTGGTCCCAGTAACACCGTGGGAGCCACTGTGCAAAGAGTTGATACCAGTAAGCTCCGCATCTTCTTTTTCTCACCTTCTTTACCTCGCGTCCAGCATTTTCCTGATTCATCCCCTACATGCTCGTACCGACCTGCCGTTTTCGTTCAGCCGGCAGCGGGGAAATCAGCCAGTGAGAGAACCGGCAATGAGTTCAGTAGTGGCACGTACG